AGTCAAGCTCCTTGTGAAGACATCTAAGAAGAAGATTGCCTGATGAGTCCAGCCGGGACGAAAGGTACGTCGCAATCAAGCTATGTTGTTTCTGTGTCATCTGCTATGCGCCATACGCTATCTGATGTACCAGCCTGCTATGTCGGACACCACTCACTCTGCATCGACTAGGCGCCAGACGCGAACTGATGATGGTGGTGGTGGCGGGAAGGAGAGCTCTGTGCCAGAATAACTTTTCAGTTTAGAGAGCGTGTGTAGGCAGGTGTGTATTTACCGCCGTATGAATCAACCACAGTACGATCAGCTGACGTTATAACTTACATGTATAAGGATGATCTCGTGCAGCGATATTATGATATTGTTTAAGTCTTTTCTAAGGACTCTCCACTGCAGCGTTTTCTTTCCACTCGGTTCTCTTCTTTTCATCGCTCAGCTTGCACTTGCAATGCTTATACATACAGATCAATCCCGTTCAATTTTCCGTATATTTTTCTCAAAATCCATAGCGTGGACGAAGTAGTGATTTTCCGTACAAATATGGAAAATACGGAAGGTTGATAGCACTGTGTTGAGGCAGCTATTGTTGACTTTATTTGGAATTAATTCTGTTGTATTTGCACACATTCCTGAGTGCATTGTATTACTAGTATAAGCATCCAATGTGTGTATCTGTGCGAACTTCTAACCTTGTGAACATTCACTGAAGGTTCGGTTGGTGGCGCACAAGATCTTCCGGGATGGCTCTTGCGGGCTCTCAGCCCTGCGTTCACTGCATAAAACTTGGCAGAACAGTTCAAGTTTCAATTTGGCCATTTCCTCACTCTGTGACTCCCAATATTTCACATGTGCAATGATTATAAGTATTGTAGACCACTGGGACAGTGCCACTTTGTTAGCCGATGTTAGTCCTGAAGAAAAATTGACTTCATTGCCCTAAAGGTGAGAAGAAATTGGGACTATTTGTGAAGGAAAACTTTGGAAAATGTAATTTCGAATAAAAGTCATTTCGTTTATCTGGATAGGTCCAATATTTCACAAATGTGCAATATAAGTATCGTAGATCACTGGGACAGGGCAACTTGGTCTGTCGAAGTTAGTCACGAGGAAAAAATTTCTTCATTGCCCTAAAGGTGAGAACAAATTGGGACTATTTGTGAAGGAAAACTTTGGAAAATGTAATTTCGAATAAAAGTCATTTCGTTTATCTGGATAGGTCCAATATTTCACAAATGTGCAATATAAGTATCGTAGATCACTGGGACAGGGCAACTTGGTCTGTCGAAGTTAGTCACGAGGAAAAAAATTACTTCATTGCCCTAAAGGTGAGAACAAATTGGGACTATTTGTGAAGGAAACCTTTGGAAAATGTAATTTCGAATAAAAGTCATTTCGTTTATCTGGATAGGTCCAATATTTCACAAATGTGCAATATAAGTATTGTAGATCACTGGGACAGGGCAACTTGGTCTGTCGAAGTTAGTCACGAGGAAAAAAATTACTTCATTGCCCTAAAGGTGAGAAAATATTGAGGCAATTTGTAAAGAAAGGATTACCTCATCTTAGGTGGTCAAAGTGCCTCAGAGTTCCAGTGGCAGTGCAAAGCCAGTGAGTAAGCCAGTGAACAAGACCCTTTATTAGTGAACTCCTCAGCGATGGCCACAGATGGCTGTATTTCGGCAATGGAGATCGAAAGTCTGACCACAATTGTTCGGCGAAAGGACGAAGACGACGATTTCTCGATATATAGCTATGTACGGATTTCCCGCGCGCTATGACCTACATGTATGTACGGACTTGTCCCACACCGAGCAGGTCGTAATATTTTGAATCGTTGAGTCGATCATGGTTGTGCACAAGTGATGCGCTTGTCGCCTCCCGGGTCTATACGACTCCCTGATTCGAACGCTTCGCGTGCTCAGTGCTTCTGTACTGCTGTGGCTGCTTCCGCTAGCGCTAGCTACACGATTCGCACGCTTCGCGTGCTCAGTGCTTCTGCGGCCGGCCGCTAGCTACACAGTGCTACACTGTTCGCACGCTTCGCGTGCTCAGGGCAGCGCTGCTCCGCAGCGCTTCAGCGTGACACAAACACACACGTCACAGGTGCCTCTTCTTTATAAGGATCGTGACACACACACACACACACGTCACAGGTGCCTCTCTTTTATAACTATAGTATAAGTAAAGATAGTCTTCCATGGTCTTCACATTCACACAAGGCTGACGTGTAGTCGAGTCTGTGTCTGCCTATTGGCAGTATTGCACTACACCGCGCCGAGCGCTCCATTGGGAGTGCAGCAAGAAATCAAAGAAGGATCATTATTTTGGTCCTTGAATGAGTAATTCAGCATTCTCGAATTCTAGCTGGAAAGCGTCCTCATTTCCCTAGTGATTACGCTGAATACTTTAGCGTCAGGTTTGACTCTATCGGCACCGTAGCGTCCTACGATCCAGTCGTTCAGTCTAGTCTCCGGTGTGGAGCGTCGCTGCAAAGCAACACCACACTTTGCGGTGGAAAATCCGGGGAAGAAATCCTCTCGAGGTAAGTGTGTGCGAGACGCGCTGGAGTCACATTACGGTCGGTACAGTCTGTCCAGGTGACCCAGCGCATCTGGTACGACTGCCCGTTGCTCGCTGTTGTGTATGACTATGAGCTCAGCGCAAAGGATTCTTGGATTATTACAAATAATTGAATGAATCCATTGTAATAACTATAATTATGGCGTAAAATTTGCGTAGTACTCTTTCCCTGTAGTAGGGATGTCAGCGAACGCACTGCGCAGGCCTCTGCGCATGCATTGCGTCATCGATTTTTTGAACGTGATCGCGGCCGACAGAGAAAACATGGCCGCGGTCTGTTAACATGTTTGCACCGCTGGGAGTCGTAAAATTACTGTTCTTCTGTCCCCGCGACCATTCAAATAATACGTACGCGATACAGGAGGACCCACGAGCTCACCACGTTCTCCCCGGTCGATTTCTCTGAAAGTTTGCACATCGTGAAACACCAGTATGAGAGGTGTTCAGGCCAATTTTCAAGGGATTACCCTGGTTGGATCGTTCCAAAATCGGACTTGCATTTCTCACTCGCGGCCATTTCTTGCGCGATGGAAGCGCCCTGCCCTGGTGAGTAACCAGCGTCGCGCTTGGTAGAGAGTTGCTGCAATCAGCTCCCTGATGTCTTCGCTGCCATTGTCAGAAGCGATGGGCCCTGAATTTGTTTGAGAGTCTCTGGATGCTACTTTTCCTCAGCCTAGTTTTCAGCCATTCCGTGCATCTTCTTCGCACGATTTATTTTGCAAAAAAATGAAAGGGTTCATGAGTTTTTTTGTCGGCCGCGCGTAGATGGGCCAGGCTGACCTGCGCAGATGGGCTGCGCAGTGCGTTCGCTGATATCCCTACCTGTAGCACAGAACTGTGCGTACTACAAAGTTGTAGTGCAATAAACAGGGTTGGCTATGGAAGAAAATGTATTTCCCGACGTGCCCCTGATAACGTTATCAAATGAACGCTCCATTTGCATTCAGTCTGCACGCTGAGACGTATTGATGTGGATAGGACCTGGGAAGAGGCCTAGACGTCTCATGCTTTGCATGCACAGGAAGACTTCAATTATTTGTATGGGCAGAGTAACAATGTTGCAGGGTAGGGCTACGTAGTACTACTGTCGTGGACATGGAAATCCAGTCGAATGACTGGGGCTGGCGACTTCAGCGCGTACAGAACGTAACGTTGTTGCACGCAATGTTATGTTGATCCGATGCGACCAGCGAGCGCATACGTACCGCTCACCCATGGCTGCATGGCCAGCGCCCTGGGGCCGCTAGACGGGCGACCGGATTTCCATGTCCGCGACTGTAGTCACTAAGTTCATCTAGATTGCACAGTTGTAACCATTGAAATTCACACCCTGGTTAGCTGGTACAGTGCCGCATGATGAAATCCAGTCTTGTCACTCAAGTTGGAGTCTTGCCTCATTTCGCAGTCCAGTGTTCGCAGGTCTAGGGCTGCGCAACGCCCGGCGCGCACTTGAGTGATGCTACTGGATTTCATTGAGCAGCACAGTGCATGTACTACAGTCCTGACAACTGAAATCCGACCCCCTGAGCGGTGGGTTCCCATTCTAGCGGTCTCTGTTTCGTAGTTTTACCATCCCGTGTTAGGTCTGCGATGTGAGAGCGCACCACTCAGGGGGTCGGATTTCAGTTGCCAGCAGTGTAGTA